TGCCTCCCAAAGTGCTGGGATTACAGGTGTGAGACACTGTACCCAACTATGGTTGCATTTTCTTAATGACTGATGATAATGAGCAACTTTTTAATGTCTTTAACGGCCATTTGTATATCTTCTTTTAAGAAACATCTATTCAAGGATGGGTGAAGTGCCTCATGCCTATAATTCCAGCATTTTGGGAGGCCAACCTGAGAGAACTGCTTAAATTCAGGAGTTTGAGACCAGCCTGGGCAATATAGCAAGACCTTGTCTCTACAGAAAACAAAAAAATTAGCTGGGTGTGGTGTGCATGTCTGTAGTCCCAGCTACCCAGGAGCTGAGGCAGAAGGATCGCCTGAGCCCAGGAGGTTGAGGCAGCAGTGAACCATGTCATACCATATCACTCCAACCTGGGTTGCAGAGTGAGACCCTGACTAAAAAATAAAGAAATGTCTATTCAAATTCTTTATTGACTAAAAAAAAGTTTATTCTAGCCGGGCTCGGTGGCTCAGCCTGTAATCCCGTGCCTTTGGGAGGCTGAGGTGAGTGGATTGCCTGAGCCCGCGGGTTCAAGACCCGCGTGGGCAGCGAGACCTCATCTCTACAATAAATCAAAAAATCAGCCGGGCGTGGTAGCGCGCGCCTGTAGTTCCGGCTACTCGGAAGGCTGAGGCGGAAGGATCGCCGGAGCCCGGCAGGTCGAGGCTGCGGTGGCCGGGATCGGCCATTGCACTCCAGTCTGGGCAACCGAGTGAGACTCCAACTCAAAAAAAAAAAGTTTTTTCTTTTTTTTTTTTTTTTTCCCCTGCCCAGGCGGGTCTCGAACCCGCGGGCTCAGGCAATCCACTCACCTCAGCCTCCCAAAGGCGCGGGATTACAGGCTGAGCCACCCAGCCCGGCTAAAAGTTTGTTCTTAGGTTGTTGAGTTGTAAGGGTTCTTTATACATTCTAGGTACAAGTCCCTAATTAACCATATGATTTGAAAATACTTTCGCCCATTCTGTGGGTTGTCTTTTCACTTTCTTGATGGTGTTATTGACTTAAATTTTTTGTTGTACTATTTGTAAAGAATTTTTGTATCTTTTTTATCTCTATAATTATCCTCATTTCTTTCCCCCACCTTATTTTGATGACCAGGAAGAGTTCCAAATAATTTATTGAAGAGAGATGATGACAGAACACATGTCTGATTTTGTTTTATTTTGGTTTTTACTGCTTCTAAGCAGAGTGACTCTCTTGTTTCTTTGCTGTGAATTTCATTGACTTCTGAGTTCAGAATAAGACTCTTTATTATCCTAAAGGAAAGTCCCTTTATTTCTCTTTCAAAGATAAAAAAAAAATTGACAAAAGGAAATCAGAGTCTCTGTTCTCTCCTTCCTTTGAGAGAAAAGTCACTCACACCCAATCTTCTTTGTGAATGTGCAGCATTTGTTACAGTGGCTACATCTGTAGATCGCCCTTTCATTACGCAGTTACAGAAGCGCCTTTCTTTTCAGTAACAAGTTGTAGCTCTCCTAATTTAGATCAGTAGGTGACCAACATCATTTACTATCAAATTTGTTACTTTTCCTTCCATGATTTGGTAAGTAAATCTGACTTTACAAACATAAGGTTTAACTGTATGCAATAATTTAGCCAGAGTTACTATTTTTCATGTTATATTAAAAATATAAGGCAATTAGTAAAATCTATTCTCTTCCAAAGTATTTAAAACATTAGAAAGTAATATAGTGGCCAACACCTTTCAAATCTCAAATCAGTTAGAAAAATGAATATCTTGAGTGTTTGTCTTCCTAAAAATTAATAAGTTAGAAGACCTGAGTACAAAAGTAATACTTTTCGGAGGAGTGGATTAAATTTCATCCATGGGCATGGATGAAATTGATGAATTTGCAAAAGACCCTTTACCTGCCTCCCTTTTGATTGCATTTCACAATATCCAAGACATCTTGACAGAATATTCTATCCTTGCTCGTGGAATCTCAGTGATCTGTCAGAAGCTAATTGTGACTTCAAGATGGAAGTAATATCCAGTATTAAAACTGCTGCCTTCACTTTTCTCAAAAATATTGGTAAGACAGACAATAGATTTTAAACTTGCTTTTGTAAATAGTGGTTGCATCTCATTTTGAGATTCCAGATATTCCATAATGGATCTTCTTTAAAAGTTGCCTGGACACAGTGGGCTCACGCCTGTAATCCCAGCACTTTGGGAGGCTGAGATGGGAGGACTGCTTAAGCCTAGGAGTTTAAGACCAGCTGGGGCAACGTAATGAGGCCTCATCTTTATAAAAAATAAAATAAATTAAATTAATGGTGGCACATGCCTGTAGTTCCAGCTACTCAGGAGTCTAAGGTGGGAGGATCACCTGAGCCTAGGAGGTTGAGGATGCAGTGAGCTGTGATCATGCCACTGCACTCTAGCCTGGGCAACAGAGTGAGACCCCAACTCAAAAAAAGAACTGTGCTCTTTCTAACTCCCAGTAAGAGAGTTATGAGGGAATATGTATAATTAATTCTGCCAGCTCTAGTAGCTAACCTTTATCAAGCACTTGCTCTATGCCAGGCACTGTGCTAAGCTTTTTATTTGCCTTATTTTATAACATATACCTCTATGAGATAGGTACTACTATTAGGCCCATTTTACAGATGAAGAAACTGAGGCTTAGAGAAGATTAAATGACTTGCTTACAGTCACATAACTAGTAAGTGTTTGAGTAAGAATTCCAAATTAGACATCCTGACTTCTGAGCGTATTTTCTTAGCCACAATGTCTGTGCTCTCAAATCTCCATAAGATTTAATAGTGTTGGGACTTTATTTTTATAATAATGATATGTCCAGATATAGATTAAGGTATGAAGTGTGTAAGAGGGACAGAGATAAATCAGATTTAGGAAGTAATTTTGTATTATAATCATTATTACTATTATCAGGTGACAAAATGACTGTACATGCTTGGTTACATTTGGAGAGGTAACTTGATTCTTGTTCCCCAAATGATCTCAGACTGGAGGTCATTGTTTAAGATAGCTGTGCATTCAGGGTAGGCTATATATGGTAGGTTGAAACTGACACTATGAGTTCTAACTTTTCATAGAAATTTAACATCTAAATTTTAATTCTTAGTTAAAGCTTCTAAATCAAATTAACATTTTAAAGTCTATTTTCTAGCCGGGCTCGGTGGCTTAGCCTGTAATCCCGCGCCTTTGGGAGGCTGAGGTGACTGGATTTCCTGAGCTCGCGGGTTCGAGACCCGCCTGGGCAGCGAAACCTCATCTGTACAATTAATCAAAAAATCAGCTGGGCGTGGTAGCGCATGCCTGTAATTCCAGCTACTTGGAAGGCTGAGGTGGAAGGATCACTGGAGCCCAGCAGGTCGAGGCTGCGGTGGCCGGAAGCGGCCACTGCACTCCAGTCTGGGCGACAGAGTGAGACTCCAACTCAAAAAAAAAAAAAAAAAAATGAAGTCTATTTTCTTCTAGTATGAAATGAAATTACAGTACCATTAAACTGATTTTTATTTGTAGGTGTCAGCACTTTTGTTAATATTTCTGATGGACACTATAGAGTTCAATAACTTCAGATTTCCCCAAAACTTCTGGAACCAACGACCACACTAAGACTGAAAATATGCCACCTGATATTGAAACTAATTACATACAGTTTTCTTTGAAAATACCAAAAATGGAGAAGAAGGAGTAACCAATGTCCAATATTTCCCAGAGGAGAGTTCAGTCCTGGTTGAGTTTTCTAACTACCAATTTATTTTGCTTCTTGATGTTCAAAGTGAATATTAGTCATTTGGTGCATGAAGGAAGCCAGATGAAAAGCTACATAGGTGATTAGGAAACCCATCAAAGCCATCACACTCTTATTGGAATATGTTATGAATTAATTCAAGCTTTGAACAGTTCTCTGTGGCAATCTAGCTAAAAGAATTGAGTGTGTGTGCGTGTGTGTGTGTGTGTGTGTGTGTGTGTGTGTGTTAGCAGTAGCAAAAAATCAAGCAGCAAAAACCTTCACCCCAATTTCCATGTAGTTACTGCTTCCTTTCTTTGCTTTCTTTTGCAGCAAAATTTCTTGATTGAGTTTCTTTAAACTCATCCCTGTTCCCTCTCTTCCCATGCTTCCTTCAGTTCATTCCAGACAGGTTTTTACCACCAGTGCTTCACCAAACCTGTTCTTCTCAAGCTCACAAATGACCTTTTTGTTGCTAAACTCAGTAGCCACTTTTGCGAGAGAGACAGAGAGGGAGAGAGGTAGAGAGTGAGAGCACAGAAAGCTGCCATGCTTTTTGTAACCTAGCCTCAGAAGTGACATAGCATCAATTCTGCCGTATTCTATTGGTCACACAGCCAACTCTGATATGATGCGGAAGAAGACTAGACTTGATGACAAGGAGGTAGGGAATATTGAGAGCAATCTTACTTATACAATCCAAGAAAATAGAACTTCAAGACAAGAGCCTTTCATCACTCTCTACTTCTCTCCTCACTGTCATACCTAAGCCTTCTATAGATTCTAGAGTACCTCTGGCTGTTAGAATTCCAAATGTATAGATTTAAATCCTTCTAGAATTTACTATCTGGATAACAATGGCAAAGTTTTTTCTCTCTGTTTCCTCATTTATTTACTTATTTTGAGACCTCTTTAAAATATCACCATTTGATTTTGTCTGAATGATGTCTATCCTTTATTTTTATTTTTATTTAGTGCTGGACACCAACTTGGTGAAAAAGTGTGTCTTCAATGAAAAACCCATTTCTCTGTTCACATATTTTATGTCTTTGGGCAAGACTTGTACGGAAGGGAGAAACCTCTGAGAAAGTTGTTGGCACCATTCCTGGTGTCCCTGGATCCTCATATATAGAAGTTCTTGCTAAAAAAGCATCACCAGATTAGAATGATAAATTACAAAATGGAAAATTGTCACTGTGAGGCAACATGACCCCAAATCATCTGTAAGAGGTTGAAGGTAACACTCAGGTCTGTGGCCACCTAACTCATTCAAGGATGTCCAAAAAATTAGTGTCATCAAGACCTGGAGAGAACATATTTCTTAAAAATTATCCTGCATCTAACTGTCAAGTCATCAAACTGAATGTGAAGCCAGTGGTATGGGAGGACATAAAAGATAGCACAGAGGATGATAGATTTTGATTGAGTCTGATATGTTCAAGGAGATGGTCATAATAATTGGTCATTAGGAGGATGTGAAAAGAATTGTAACACAATTTAAAGACATTAGTAGAAAGCACCAATGAAAATATTAAAAAAGGAAAACCAAAATCTAACAGAGAATGTGCCTGGTTCATTTGGAAGATTTTCTAGTCTTCACATCAATGCTTTGAAAGACTTTTACCCAAGGAATTCTCAAGTTGGGAGGCAACTGATAATGTTTTCATCAAACATACCAGGCTGCACACAGGAGAGTATTAAGTGAAGAATGAAATTCCTGAGCAAATGAAAAGGCTCTCCCAGAATCCCATTCCCAAAGAAGAGAGTGAACAATTCTCTAACACAATTATGTAATATGTATATAGTACCAACCAAGAGGCACTGAACTAAGACCATTTTAAACAAAGAAAATTCATATCCTTTTTCAGTTAGATTATACAAATAAGTTTCATTTCATGGATGACCAAATGATAGTTGTTGCCTGGAGCTCTGTGTTGAAGAAGATTCTGAGACTATATCTGGGCTGATTGAAAGAGTGCTGATACCAATTAATAATGTCTGTCATAGGTGTAGAAAGGATGACATGTGCCATGTTTTTACCATTCATAGTTGTGAGAAATGCCATGTGGTAGCTCAGCTCAGATTCTGTGAAAAGCAGAACTGAATTGGATGTGAAGAAATCAGATTAAAGTATATGTCCTCCATTTGCTAGTAGTTTGACTTTGATCAAGTGACTTCATTCCTATGCACGCTGGTATCTTTTTCAGGGCAATGAAGTTTCTATACTGGATAATCTCTGATGACCCTTTACATTCTAAAATTCTGTACCTGTTAATAGCCAAAGGGCAAATGCATCATTGCGGAACACTCAGGGACGTATCTTATTTGGGTTCCCCAGAAGAGGACCTTGAGATCTAATTCAAGTGCAAGCATTTTAAAGTAGAGGAAACTGATGGAGTACATCATCAAATCAGCTCCCACTTAATCCCACTGGGGAAAGTCATAGTGAATCTATCTGAGAGGCAAGGTTGCTGGGGTATTTTATGTCAACTCCTGCCAATCATTGCATGAGGGCTGGGTGGTGGGGAGTGGCTTGATTTACCTGTACTTCTCTGCTCTTCCTTACCAGCAAGCCAAGTAGGTTTTGGCAGCTAAGAGAATCCCCGGGCAAGAAATGCAGTTGGAAATATGTCCAGGTTGCACTTAAATAGTAAGGGTTAGGTGATATGGTCAGAGTCTACTATGCTAAGATTCTTGGGGAAATAAGTAATGACATTTGGGGTATTAAGTACAATTAATACTCAAATATTATGATAAATTATCTGCTTTGAATCTCAGAACTGAGTTATGAGTTGAGTTAGAGAAGTCTGTGAAATCTAATAGGTTTTTTTTTTTCCTCTTTGGACACCTAAAGAACTGGGCACAGTGGTGACATCTGTAATCCCAGCACTTTGGGAGGCAGAGATGGAAGTATTGCTTGAGGTCAAGAGTTTGAGACCCACCTAGGCAACATAGCAAGACTCTGTCTTTACGAAGATTTTTTTAAAAGAAAAATTAGCCAGGCATGGTTGGGTGTGCCTGTAGGTCTAGTTACTTGAGAAGCTGAGGTGGAAGGATTGTTAAAGCCCAGGAGTTTGAGGTTACAGTGAGCTATAATCGTATCACTGCATTCCAGTCTGGGTGAGAGTGAGTACCTGTCTCTAAAAAAAATAAAAGACACCTGTAAGGAAAGTCTTGAGTTAGGCATGTCCTGGTAATGCTTTACTGTTTTCTCCACAGTCAGGTGAACAGTCCAGTATGAAAGATTATCTTTCATACAAAAATGTTATAGCTTCAATCGAAACCAAAGAAGGTCTGAGCCTCCAGTTGATAAGTGGAGATGTCCAGTATATCCAGGTAGGTGGTATTTGGTAAATCCACCAAGGGACAATGGTTCCGTGCCTTAGGATCAAAGATTAAGATAATATCAATTTGGGGAGTTCAAGCCACCTGAGGTTCATGCAGAGATGTATTTAGCATTCCCTATATTCTTCCACATATACTCACATGGAGGGGTCCAAGTTTAGCCACAAACCAGGGTGTGCAAATCCACCTCTTTTATTTCTCTGCTACTGATCTTGACTATCCCCTCAACCCAGTTCTGTTTTTTCCCCTCCTGCTCCAATCAGCACTAATGGGGAAGACATATATATACCATAATATAAAAATCACCCTTCACCAAAACACACCCATTGCTCTGGCACTTTCCAGAGACAGAGGAAGAATGAGAAGGGATAAAGGTTACCAGTGCAGGCGTTAACTCCTAAACCTGGCCGCTGCTTACCTCTGTTCTATCATTTCCCTTTCCTTGGAAGCACCGGGTAGCAGGAGAAGCAGGCACTCCATTCCACCTGTAGTTTACACCCATGACACTGAATCCTGGCTGCAGATCAGAATCATCTGGGGAGCTTTTAAAAATACAGACGCCCAGGCCCTAACCCTGGAGATTTTAATTTTAATTGGTTGGGTATATGGGGTGGCAACAGTAGTTTCTGGAGGAATTCCAGGTGAGTCTAGTTAGGGCAAAAAAATCACCGGTTTGGATGCTTCTTCACGATTCTATAGCCCCACCCTTTGGACACTTGTTATTTGCCTTCAGATGTGACACACTTCAAGACTAATGGAAAGAGAAGCTTACTGAGAGATTTGAAGAGTCTTCTGGAATATTCTTTGCTTTTGCTGCAGCTAATAAGATGGCAGAGGGGAGGGAGGTAGTCAGTTGTTTCTTCATGTCTCTAGGGTCCTTGGACTCCTTTGTTACATGGGTTCAGGGCCTTGTCCTCAGACCAGCATATTGAAAAGTTGAATCTTATTACCATTTTACCCAGAGTTGATGTGACTTGCACTAATCAAACTCAAGACTTACTTATAAAACTGGAATTGCAATTATTTAATTTTCAGTGCGAAAGATGATTGCCATGGCTACTGGCAATAGTGAGCTTTGCAGCTGACATTTTGAGTGTGCTAAGTAAATATAACGAGACCAGAAAAGAACTGGATGATAGAAAAGGGTGTAAATTAAATTTCCACTCTAGGAGTAGTCATAGTGTAGTGGTTAAGCAGACCACCTCTAAAGCCATTTCTGGCAGGGTACAGGCACCACTCCACCACTGAATGAATAGCCACTGATCTTGATCAATATCTCTCATGCCTTAGGGTCCTTATCTATAAATACAAGCGATAACGATATAGGAATTGTTGTGAGGTTTAAATAAAATAATTCATATAAAAGACTTAACTCCTACCTGGCACATAGTACCAGCTTTTAAAAAATGCTAGCTGTGATCATTAACCACTTATGGTGGGCCATTTCATATTTTACCTTACTCAGTTAGTACCATAACCTAATTAAGATAGATGTTACTTACCCCCATTTTATAGATGAGGAAACCAAGTTATTTTCACATATAAGTCTGCTGAGTTAATTACAAAACTCATGTCAACTCATGTTGGGGGAACTATTCTCACCATGGGATGGTGCTGTGTAAACTTTGCAATCGTCTTTAACTCTTTTTTTCTCTGAGCTCCTTTTCTTATCCAGTTAGTTTCCAAGTCCCAATGAGCCTCATTTCAAAATGTCTCCTGTGCATGGCCTTCCTTTTCATTCCCACTGTCTATCCTTATTTCAGTGTCCCCCTAATCACTCCTTGTCACCCTTTTTTTTTTCAGTTGGAGTCTCACTCTATCTCCCAGACTGGAGTGCAGTGGCACTCTCCTGGCCACCACAGCCTCAACCACCTACCACGCCTGGCTAGTTTTTTATTTTATTGTAGAGACGAGGTCTTGCCAAGTTGCCCTGGCAGTTCTCAAACCCCTGGACTCAGGCAATCCACTCGCCTTGGCCTCCCAAAGTGCTGATTACAGGCTGAGCCACTGAGCCTGGCCCTTGTCACCCTTTAATGTGTCTCCTATATTGCTGCTTGATGCATATTCCAAAAACATTATTTTAGCAGATATTTTCCTGCACAAATATCTTTAGTGTCTTCCTGTTGCCTGTAGGATCAAGTCCAAAAAGTGTGGTTTTCCAAGTACCCCATCATTTGGTCCCAAATCTTTCTCCAGCCCCATCCCTCCCTATTGAACCTCTGCTTCAGCTAAATTGGACTCTCTGACCTTGCCCAGTTCTGTGTATCCTTCGATATTCCTCACACCTAGAATGTCTCACTGCCTTCTTTCTACCTGACCCAATTATAGCCATTCTTCAAGGCTTATATGAAATTCTTAATCCCTCAGTAAAGTCTTCATTAACCACTAACCAGTCCAATATAAATAATTCCTACCTTTTTTTAAGTTTTTTTTTTTTTTTTTTTAGTTGGAGTCTCACTCTGTCGCTCAGGCTAGAGTGCAGTGGCACAGTCAGGGAGCCTCGAATCTGCTGGGCTTAGGCGATCCTTCTGCTTCAGCCTTCCAAGTAGCTGGAACTACAGGAACATGCCACCATACCTGGCTAATTTTTTTGATTTATTTTAAAGATGAGGACTCGCCAAGTTGCCCAGGCTGGTCTTAAATTCCTGGGCTTAAGCAATTCTCTCACCTCAGTCTCCCAAAATGTTGGGATTACAGGCGTGAGCCACTGTGCCTGGCTAATTTTTTTTTAACTTTAAGCTATCCCTGCATTTCTGGGATAAATCCCACTTGGTCACTCCACCTCCCAAAATGCTGGGATTACAGATGTGAGCCACTGCACCTGGTCCAAAACTTCTATAGCAATTCAATATTTGCATATTTAACAGAATGTCTTTGGATTATCTTAATCTGGTTTAAATATTAAGATGATTTCACTTTTTTGCATGTTAATATATTGCTTCCCTAAACTATACAGAAATCAGTAAATAGTGACACTACAATTGGGAGTGAGAAGAAGATGGGCTAGATGTAGTTTTGTTTGGTTTTTTTTTTGAAAGACTTACTCCTCTTGTCTCCACAGGGCCTTCTCAGATCCTGAGACTGGCTTATACTAAGCTCATGTAAGACCTTATATGCTACTAACGTACCTCCAATACCGACATAACACTTAAAACTAGTTTTGACCGGGCATGGTGGCTAAGCCTGTAATCCCAGCACTTTGGGAGGCTGAGGTGAGAGAATTGCCTGAGCCCGGAGGTTCGAGACCAGCCTGGGCAACTTAGTGAGACCTCATCTCTTCAATAAATCACACACAAAAAAAACTAGCCGGGCGTGGTGGCGTACTTCTGTAGTTCCAGCTACTTGGAAGGCTGAGGCGGAAGGATTGCCTAAGCTCAGCAGGTCAAGGCTGCAGTGGCCATGAGCATGCCGCTGCATTGCAGCCTGGGTGACAAGAGTGAGACTCAACTCGAAAAATAAAACAAACAAAACAAAAACAACAAAACTAACAGTTTTTATTCAAGAGGAAATTCTCTAGATTTTATTTTTCAAATGTAATTATAACTTTATTTAGAACTAACTTTTAGCCAAACTCTCAAAAACTGAGAAAATTAAAGCATTTAATTTTCAAAAATGCAAAATTTTTGAAAAAAACTGCAAAATTTTGGCAAAATTTAGGCTTTTTAGACTAGACATTTTCCAAGAACTCAAGAATGCTAGTTATTAGATTGGGAACTATAACTGTTCTGTGTCCCAGAGACATAGGCATATTTCAATTTACAATAAGGAAGAGCTCTCCAAAAAAACCAGAATATTCAAAATCCACATGATCAGAGTATTTGCTGTCCCTCACACCCAGTCAAATTACCGTGGAATCCAAAGGTTGGTAGTAAGCACAAAATCTGAATAAGAGGAGTTAGGTGAATTGAACACATAACATCTCATGGCATCAACTATGACTTCCATCTTACCAGAGAGACAGACATTTAGAGAAGTCAATGCCTCTGGGCAGGCTAAAACGGACATGGCCTATCTTCACCTCAGACTTTTCTTTGTCTAGGCCTTCAAGACTGACCAGACTCCCCTTCAGATTAACCCATTCTTTTTTTACGTATGTTACTAAATTCAAAACACGTAATCTCAGTTCCTGCCAACCTAAAAGCAATTCTCTCTTACTTCCTCTGTCTCCCACTCTTTCTGTGTTTTTGTCTCAGTCTGTCTGTTTCTCTGTCTCTCTTTTTTGCCTCTACCTTTCATTTTCATTTTCTTTCTTTCTCCTCTCTATAAATCTTTGTTTCTGTCTCCCTCTCTGCCCCTGGCTTCCATTTCACTCATTTTCATAGCTCTACTCTGACTCATTGGGTATTGCTTTGACAGTAGTGATTAATTATTTCCTTAATTTCTGAGTCATTTGGGAGTCACCTCATTAGAGTGTTTAAATATTAACAGATTGTAAATTTCTTGAGAGTAGGGCTGACGTGTCATTATGATAGGCAAAACATATCTTGGGCATTACACCATAGTCCTTAGCAAAGCATAGGTGCTTTGTCATTATGTGTTGATTCAATCTCTAACAAACTTGCTGTTTTCATTAAGGCTGATGTCATTGTCAACACAGTTCCCAAGGATCTGCAGCTTGGAGGAGGACCACTGTCTCAGTCTCTTTTGCAGAAAGCTGGTCCAATGCTTCAGAAAGAGTTAAATGCCACCAGGCAGGAAGCCGAGGAAAAATTGGGTAGCATATTCATGACAAGTGGCTGCAATCTGGACTGCAAAGCTGTGCTCCATGTCGTGGCTCCAGACTGGGATAACGGAGCAGGGACTGCTCAGAAGGTAGAGAAAGCTCTTAGTTCCCCACCTCATCTGATAGCCTTGAGAGTCTCCTTCTGGTCTGGGATAGGTCCTCAATTTTGCCCCTGCAGAGGACATTAGGCTTATTACAGCTGCTACTGGTGTCTAGTGGGCAGAGACCAGGGATGCTGCTATACATACTATTATGCACCTCCCCACCGCAACAAAGAATCTGGCCAAGGTTGAAAAACTCTAGTATTGATTGAACCCTGTCTGTTTGTTTTTTGGGTTTTTGTTGTCAGAGTCTCACTCGTTGCCCAGCCTGGAGTGCAGTGGCACACTCACGGCCCACCCCAGCGTCAACCTGCTGGGCTCCTGCGATCCTTCTGCCTCAGCCTTCCAAGCAGCCGGAACTACAGGCACGCGCTGCCACGCCCGGCTAATTTTTTTGATTTATTGTAGAGATGAGGTCTCGCCAAGTTTCCCAGGCAGGTCTCGAACCCGCGGGCTCAGGCAATCCACTCACCTCAGCCTCCCAAAGCGCTGGGATTACAGGCTGAGCCACTGAGCCCGGCTTAATTTTTTATTTATTGTAGAGATGAGGTCTCACCAAGTTGCCTGGGCTGGTCTCAAACCCGCAGGCTCAGGCAATCCTCTCACCTCGGCCTCCCAAGTGCTGGGATTACAGGCTGAGTCAACGAGCCCAGCCCACTACCTATTTGTTGAAATCTTTTTTACAGTCCATGGAGAATCTATCACAACTACGTTATTTCAGAGTGATTGACCCTCAGAAGTGGTAACAATTATTGCAGTTCTCCTGGAATGGTGTCTACAGAGTTATGTAAAGATTCTTTGGCATAACAAAGAGGTGCACCCAGAGCTGTGGTGAAGAATCAGAGTCAGTGCCCTTCTTTTAATAATTCTCACCTCCACTCCCAGTTTACTCCACCAACTTTATATTTTTTCAGAATATAAAAACATAATACATGTTCACTTTAGAAAAGTACAAAAAGAAAATGAAAATCATAATCCAACCACCAAGAGATAACTTTGGTTAACATGTTACTGTATTTCCTTGAAGTCAATGTTATGCATATTTATTTCTTAGCTGAGATTTTCTTTCTAACACTTTTTTTTTTTTTTTTGATTGGGT